ATATATATATATATATTTTAATATTTGCTTAGTGTCCAAGTTGGGCCGACCCTGATCAACTTTAATTTCATTTATATTATTTTCTTGTTCCAAATATTAAATAGATGAGAAAGTAATTCTATTACGAAAGCTATTCAACTGTGAATGGTTATTCTATTCTAGGCTTCTAGCTGATTTTACTTTTATTTTTTATCCCATGGAATATCATTTAGCAAGCAAAAGTAATATCATGTTCGTTATTTTTTTATAAGCAAATAAATTCAAATATTAAAATCATTATTTCTTCAAAAAAAAATATATTAAATTCGTTATAATTATAATCGGTACAATGTATAAACGTTACATCAAACTTTGTTGCAAAAACTTGCAAGAAACCTTCCCAATTGATTATTGCAGTGCATGAGTGAGTTAACCCTGCATGCTAGTCTTTTCTACGTGCCTCCAGCTGTTTTATTAATCCCGTGAACTATCACTTAATTAAAGTGAAGATAATTCATTGCAATGTTTTTATTCTGATGATGCATTTCTGGCACCATTCATTATTAAACAAGTAGTCCAAATCCTTCTGAATCACACTTCCACAAAAGTATCCTATGAGACTAGAATACTAGATAGATACTGAGAGGACGCTCAAAATGGAAATAGTACTTTCAATCAAATTTATTATTTTCATGATCCGATGAAGGAATCAGAATTTTATGTCCATAACAAGAAAAACTCAAACTAGAACTAAGTCCTCACACAAGTCCACTTGGTGCCACTACAATGGGGCTCCTAACACTGTGTGCACCACTATCTTCAATCCAAACAAGATCCCCAAATGAGATATTTTCCTTCTTGTACTTCTTATACTTTATTATAACATTGTAGCTCAGCTTCTCATTTTTATATCTGAATGATAATGTCTCAGGTGATACTGTCACCACAAAGCTCTTAGGTTGTGTCACCTTGGCTCTGTATGTGGCAGGACCATTTCCAACATTGGTCACTGTCCTCCTAAACTGGTGGAAAACTGACCTTGTTTTGTTGTTGTAGAAAGCTATGAAGGAAGGGTAGTTAAGATCAAAGGATGGTTTGAAACAGTTGTAGGAGGTTGATCTTGTGATGGTTAAGATTTGTTTTTTTGTGTAGTTCAAAGCACAAAGGAGATTAACATAGTCCTGTGGGGTGGCATCATATATCAAACCTGGATCAAGTGTTTTGTTAGGATAAATTTGCCCAGCTCCAATGGAAAGAGGGGAAGCATATTGAGAAGGGTAACCATAGTCTCTAATTGGATTTTGAGTATTATCTAGAGGACTAGCTGTGGTTACTAGTGCAGACCTTATAGCAGCAGCACTCCATTGAGGGTGTGCAGCTTTCAAAAGAGCAACAACACCGGAAGCATGAGGGCAGGCCATGGATGTTCCAGACAACAAATTGTAGTCACTAGGTAAGATCACATTGGTGCTAATGGTGGCTGTTTCCAAATGAGGATTGAAAGCAGCAAGAACATTTGAGCCTGGTGCCATTATGTCTGGCTTTAAGACCCCAGGATAGCTAGGTGAAGGACCTCTTGAAGAGTAAGAGGCAGCAGCTGGTGCTGGCTTTATTCCAACAAATGTTTGTTGAAATTTGATGCTGGCTGTTGGCTTCTTTTGGCTTTTTGCATACTTGATCACGGATTGTGCATCCTGTGCACTGATTACAATGCTTGGAGATCTGCCAATACCTGTGTCATCTAATAAAGGGGAATCGGAGATAAACACTGCCCCTAACAAACTGGCTTTATCAGCAAACCACATTTGCTTAGACATGAACACTGTGTCTAACTTAGTGTCACAGAGAATGATCCCATGTGTGGCCACTTTGGATAACACCTTGACTGAGTTACATGCTGATATATTCTTGTTGTAGATAAGTGGAAGATTTTCCACTATGGCATTTGCCGGAAACAAGGTCCAACCAGCGATGGTTTGGCCATTTCCAAGAACTAGAGCACCAAATGTGCGGTCTATGGTGCCTGCAGCCACAGTGAGAAGCCAGGGGATTCCATTGTGCAAGGAACCAAAATCAGGACCATAGTTACCTGCAGAAGATGAAACCAACACCCCTTTTTCCATTGCTGCAAAAGAAGCAATTGCTATAGGGTCCTCATAAAGAGGAACATCATCAAACCCCATAGAGATGGAAATCACATCAACCCCATCAGCAATGGCTTGGTCCATGCCAGCCAAAACATCAGCGGCTACACGACCCTCTTCCCAAACAACCTTGTACATGGCAAGCCTAGCTTTTGGTGCAATGCCTCTAGCCACCCCTTTAGCATACCCAAAGAAAGAGGCTCCACTAACATAGTTGCCAGCAACTGTTGATGATGTGTGAGTTCCATGACCCTCAGTGTCTCTAGCTGAGTTCATGCTGAGTGTAACATTGGGATTTGCAGCAATCACTCCCTTGTTGAAATATCTAGCTCCAATCAGCTTGAAGTTGCACATGGAAGTGTTGAAATCTTGACCTTCTTCACATGTCCCTTTCCATTTGTTTGGAGTTGTTTTGGTCATGCCATCATCTTTAAAGCTCTCACTCTCAGGCCACACACCTGAGTCAATAACACCCACAATGACATCCTCCCCAAAATTTGATGCATGCCATAGACCACTGGAAGAGTCTAGGGAGAGAAATTCAAAAGTGTGAGTGGTGTCTATGGTGGCACTTCTGTCTGCATATGCTGCAACAAAGCCATGATAATTCTTAACAGCCTCCAACTCTTTTGAAGATAAGACTGCACTAAAGCCATACATGGCATGGTTATAGGTGTACAATAGTTTTGGTGATTGCTTGGATGAGTCACCAAGTGTTGCGGATTTTATGGAATCAATGGTAGACTCAAACCAATCATGATGGGTTTTGAAGACACGAGGAAAGAGGGATTCATCCATGTGGACTATATATGTGGAACTCTCAGCCCTTCCATGAAGAGCCAATAGAAACCAGTGAGTAATGAAGAACATGAATGGAAATGGAAACAGAAAGTTAGGCTTAGGCTCCATCAATGTTTATGCAACTTAAATGAAAATTTCTTGGTATATATATATATATATATATATATATATATATATATATATAGGATAACATCAATGATGTTAAAACATGTAATTATTACGAAATTGAAGATAATATCATTGCAAAATAATTGGAGAGAAAATTTCCTTTCATAGAAGGTGCCTTTTAATGAGAAAAATGTAGAGCTGTAGACACTTATTTTTCTTTTTGATGTAACGCAATAAATCTCAAGTAAGATATTTCTGTGTTGCACCAATCAGATACTGATGCTAGCTTACCGTAAATGCATGGACAGGTCAACAAGATTCCATTGTACACGCATAATTTTATTTGGGCAACAATACAATATTGTTGTGTGGTGACTGGTGGTTACATATAGAAGTATTATCGAAAGGAACAAGAGTAATGATAAAGATTCACGTGGGTACGAAACTAACAAAGGAAAATATTAAATATATAAAACCACTGATAAGATACTTGTAACATTTTTTTAATGCATATTTCTTATTATTGAATGAATTTTTTCGGAGTCGTGTTAAGTAGTTTAACCTACCCAATATTTACTAATACTTATGTGAAACTCCTTAATAATAAAATCAACCGTATGATATTATGCCGTGTGCATAAACGATGAAAAATGTTATTTCCAGTATTGATTTGAACGTAACTGGCAACGAATTTGATTATATTATTATCTTCTTTCATGTTAGATCTTTACTCCACGAGTTGCTTCCTCAGTTCCCGCTCGGTCACAGCTAAACAGGATATATAATCCTCACTCGGGTTTACTCGGATGATGTCACTTACACAATTGGAAGTCCAGATCCACCGTCAGGTATAGCACAGCTGGGTACGGGCTTACCACGACCTTGGCATGGCTTAACCAAGTCAATTGTGGAGTTCGCCCACCGACTATCCGCAAGGATCCACGCACCTTCCCAAGTACTTGGTTAAGGGAATAACCCTCGACCTCATACCCCGCTCCAACACTAGCTAAGGACTTAGAGGAGACTCACCCAACCCAGTGGCCTATCTGAGCACCACTCTCCCAAATCCAGTGGCCTCCCTGAGCACCACTCTCATATATCAGTGGCCTATCCAAGCACCACTCTCAAGAGATTCTATGTGAGCTCTTCCAGTTCGAAAATATTTTTCCTCTCCTCAAGTCCTAGGCTAGACTCATGCCATAAGGCATCACATGCAATTATGCATCATACATCATACATGGTCTGCCCACCATCATGATCAACAATCATACACATGTCATAAGACATCACATGCAATAATGCATCATACATCATACATGGTATACCCACCATTATGATCAATAATCATACACATATGAACATATACTCATGCCATATCATATTTAAACATTCATATATATCATCACTATGCATACATATGAATCACACCTCAGCATACATCATATATCATACATACATGATCCAAAACTTCAACTTAACATGCATTAGCATCATTTTATTCATAAACATGTTCACGCCCGGCGCAACCTGAGCTCGCCCATCCTAATCCCAACCTGAGAGTCCTAAAACTCATCCACACCCGGTGCGTTCAACTCACGCTTGGTGTCCTTGAGACAGAGACTCCTAAGAGTCTCCACGCCTGACGTAACCAAATCACGCCTGGCCCAACATCCAACCCGAGAGTCCTAAGCTCTTCCACGCCTGGCGCACTCAACCTGCGCCTAGCCTAAACCCAGTCAGAGAGTTTCAAAACTCTCATCCAAATCAACAAATCCAGCCACATGCAAACACAAAACACAATGCATAGGCTCCATGCAACTCAAAATAAACTTAAATCTCACATGCATCCAACCTATGCATCAAAATCATCAAACTCCTCCTTTTTTTCTCAAAACCCCAAAAATGAGATTTTCTTCAATCCATCTATGGATACTCAACATTCATGCATCAATTGAGTTTCGAAGCTCACATGCAACCTAAACAACAAACATTCTAGCTTCCTTCACCTGAAGATTGGCTCAAAATAGCCAATAACTGAGAAAAAGTAGAATTCTCTTCCGAAGCTCAACCTGGAACTTCAATCCTCCCAAAACAAGCTTCCTAATCTGAATTTCAAGAAAAGACAGAAGATATTAGTGATCTAGAGGAGAAAAGGAATCATACAGTGAAATTTGGAAGAGAAAGGAGCTCACAGACCCAGAGTTTTTCTCTCTAAAACTTCTTTCTTAAAAAACTTCACTTTCTCCTCAACCACAACCCCTATTTATAGAAGTTCTGGAGTGGCCAGAACGCCCTGTTCCGAATCCGGAACGGCCCGTTTTGCACCACTTCATCACGTACAAAAATCACATGCAGAACGGCCCGTTTTGAAATCAGAACGGCCCGTTCTGGGACTCATCCAGAACGGCCCATACTCCCTCTAGAACGACCTGTTCTCCAACCAGAACGACCCGTTCTAGAGTTTGGAACGCCCCGTTCTCAACTACATTTTATAGGTCAATTCAGTAGTTTGGAACGGCCCGTTCCAGTTTGGGAACGACCCGTTCTGGGCTACTGAATCACCCATACTAGGCTTTTGGGCCTTCTGAAACAGCTTACTACGTTACAGATGTTCATAGTGTCATCTTGAAATAGAGTAATCAACATGAAATTTATTGTGTAATGATGGTTGTATTGATAAAGTCCTTTAGGATATTATGTTATATGTAGTTACTAGAGGATTGCGATGGGTTACGAGAGATGTGTGTCATGAATATACACAAAAGGCAGTTGTTCTGTTGTTAATGGACCTTTGTTATGTTAGGTCCGCTTGCATGACAAGTCAAAAAAACATTAATAAAATTCATTTGTTTTTGTTTGGGGGAGGGATGGTTTTAGGTGTTTATTCTTTTAATTTATTTTTTCCATGATTCTCTCTCCTCCTCCTCTTGTGTTGTGTTTTCGATTACTCTTTCTCTTTCTCTTTCTTTTTTCTTTTCTCTACATTATAAATTATTTTATATTATTATACTACGTTCTACGTATAATTGGTTATTGTTTCATAAATCCAATCAATTAAACGATAAACGATTGACAACTCGATAAGATACATGGTAGTCAATACACACTTTAATTTATTTTAATTGCGTTATCTGTCTCATAATTTCATAATTTATAGTAATTAACATGATTTTTTTTTGTAGTGTCATTTTGGTAGTTAAAATAAAAGACAATCAATACAATTACAATTAATTCATTGTTACATGTATGTTCATGGTATGATTTTATGATTTCGTTTAACAAATAATGTGGTTTATATTTTTATGATTAGAAAAGAATTCAAAGTCTCTTTCAATTAAATAACTCGTTCAAAATTATAATTAAAATATAATAATTAAGTTTGCTACTAATTGAGTGGAACGACCATTACCAAATTGATAATATAAACAATGCAATAAATTATGTGTCATTGTTTTGTTCTAATTATTGAAAATAGCATGTCATGTGATTTTGTTAAAATTAATTACTCTTTTAATTTTTCCATAATAGAATATCAGACATTACTTTATTATTATGAAATATAATAACAATTGAAGAATGTTTAGGATTGACTGAATGTGTGAAAATGTTCTAAGATTTTCATCGATATGCACTCTTGATGTGAATAGTATTTTAAAGCTAATATAAAAAAAATATTTAGTGTGAAAAGCGTTTTAAGATTTTTTTTTGCGTGAACAGCGTTTTAAGGTCGACATAAGAGAAAAACTTATTGACATGAAAAACGTTTTAAGGTTGACAACTACAAATAAAAATCTTTGATATGAAGAGCGTTTTAAGATCAACGACTACAAATATGAAGTCCTTAATGTGAAAAATATTTTAAGGTCAACAATTATAAATAAAAATATCATTGGTGGGAAGAGTGTTTTAAAATCAGCAATTATAAATAAAAAAATCATTAACATGAAGAGTGTTTTAAGGACGGCTCCGAAAGTTATTCTCGACCGGCTTATCAGGTTTCGCCGCCACTTCCGCCCGGGCTTGGTTACAGAACTCGGCTAATTCTTCCATTTGCATGTATTTGTCGGCTCGCCGACGCAAGTCATCCATATCGGTGGGAGGTTTCTTACAAATGCTATTGGCAAAGGGTCCTGGTTTCAAGGCAGTGGTGAGGTGGTGCAGAGCTACAACAGGGTTCAAATCTCAGATTTCGAGTGCCGCTTTATTAAACCGGCTCACGAATGCACGAAGGGATTCCTTTTTCTCTTGACAGATACTGACTAACGCCAAAGAGGTCAACTGGTGGGGTCGGCTCGTATCAAATTGAATGGTGAATTGGGAAGCTAACATGTTGAACGAGTCGATCGAGTTAGCAGGAAGCCGAGTAAACCAGCTCAGCGCTCGTCCTTTCAAGGACGTTGGGAAGATTCGGCACAATGCGGCGTCATCAGTAGTACTCAAAGTAACCTGAGTTAAGAACACATCCACGTGCTCGTCTGGGTCAGTTGTGCCATTGTACTTGTCGAGTGGCAGGGAATTCCAATGGTCAAGAAGTGAAGACTGCATGATGTTTGGGGTGAAGGGGTGTCGGTGTGTTCCGGCCGGCACTGGGTGTATCGGCTGGCCGACCGAAGCATGGACGCCTGGGGCGGCAATAGAAGTGTGAGGGATAGAGGTGTGATGGTCGAGCGAGTGAAACGACCCCTGAGTGTGGGTCGTCTCAGAGGGTTTCCACGTGGGATCCCGGTACTGGTTTTTGAGGGCGACATTCTCTTCTCGCAACGCAGCCATCTCGTCAGTATCTTTCTCCCGTTGCTGCTTCATGGCGGCCATTTCTTCTTTCATTTTGCGTACCATATCAGTCAAGTTTGTCTCCTCTACCGTCTCGGCATTGTCTGCCCCGGACCGGTGCTCATCTTCGGACTGGTGGTCTCCAACGTTAGTTCTTCTTGTCTTTGCCATAATGATTCTTCAAAAGTTTCTTCACAGCTATCGGTTCGGCCCCACGGTGGGCGCCAAAATATACCTACCTTAGGACACACTCGTAATC